CTTCCGCTCACTGCATCACATCTTGATCTTTGTGCACCCATCAGCGGCAGTCGTGTAGTAGCTCTATTGTGTCTTCACCTCTCCGTCCGCCTCGACGTTGACGTGCTCGTTGGATGAGAGGGTGGTGACCACGCCGTCGGGGATCTCGGCGCTGCGGTGTGTCAGTATTACTGTGGGGAAGTTTGGGCGTTGAGACGCGTACCTGAAGCCCTTGATAAGAGTGAATTCGTTGGTGATCTTGCCGCCCTGCTCGGTGACGTGCTGCTTTGCCTTGTCGAGCTCCTCCTTGGGAGCGGAGTCCTTGAGGGTGACCTTGGACTCGTTAGTATGATACAGACTATAGTGTGTTTGGGAGGACTCACCATGAAGGCAGGCATGTTGAGTCTTGTTGGAGTGAGGTTTGCTGGTTTAGTTGAGGGGTAGTTTAGTGAAGCTGAGTTGCAGTGTTGTGGTGTTGATGCAGCAAGGTCAAAGCGTGTCAGTGGCTTATATACCTCAGCTATCTCTCCCCGTCGGACCCTGTCAACAAGCAGTCTAGAGCCTTGGATAGGCGACGGCTGACGATGACGTGCGCTGTCCAGACTATGCCCACCCTCAGCGCCATGTGAGACAGCCTGCCCCACCACCCGTACGTGGGAGGCGCGCGCTCTTATCGATAAGCCCATCCCTGCAGCTGCGGCCTTAGCGGCTGGACTAGCGCCGAAAAAGTTGGGATCGCGAAGTTGCTTGCCGCTTGATCTTTGACTTTGCGCGCGACGAGTCGAGACCCAACACGCCACTCTGACGACTTCCACTGGAGTCTGAGAGTGAGATACGACAACCAGCAGATATGGCGGACGCACAGAGCAACAGGCCGCATCGGCCGAAGAAGGAGAAGAAGCCGCATACGGGAGACAAGAACCCCAAGGCTTTCGCATTCTCAGCGCCGGGCAAATTGAAGAGGAATGCTGCGCGCTCTACTGAAGTATGTAAGAGTCGAAGCTGTGCGCTACCATAGCTAACATTTCCAGGTCAAAGAAAAGCGTCTCCACGTCCCGCTCGTCGACCGTCTCCCCGAAGAAGCACCTCCCATCATCGTCGGCGTCGTCGGCCCTCCTGGTGTCGGCAAAACCACTCTCATCAAGAGCTTAATCAGAAGATACACCAAGCAGACCCTCTCCACGCCCACCGGCCCCCTCACAGTCGTCACCTCGAAGCGCCGCCGTCTCACGTTCCTAGAATGTCCCGCCGACTCGCTCGCCAGCATGATCGACATCGCAAAGGTGGTGGACATAGTGCTGCTGATGATTGATGGCAACTACGGCTTCGAGATGGAGACTATGGAGTTCCTGAACGTCCTGAGCGCAAGCGGTATGCCCGGAAACGTCTTCGGTATCCTCACACACTTGGATCTGTTCCGGAAACAGGAAACGCTCAAGCTGCAGAAGAAGAGGCTCAAACACAGGTTCTGGAGCGAGTTGTACCAGGGCGCCAAACTCTTCTATCTCAGTGGTGTGGTCAATGGACGATACCCAGACAGGGAGATTATGAACCTCTCGAGGTTTCTGAGCGTCATGAAGAATCCCAGACCGTTGGTGTGGAGGAATTCTCATCCGTACTGCTTGGCGGATAGGTTCCTGGATATTACGCCTCCGACCGATATCGAGCAGAACCCTAAATGCGATCGCACGATTGCGCTATACGGTTATCTGCGCGGCACGAATTTCCCCGCTGGGTCGTCGAGAGTACACATACCGGGTGTTGGAGATCTGACAGTCACTGCGACGGAAGCGCTACCCGACCCATGTCCGACACCGTTTGCGGAGAAGGCAGTGGAGAAGGCTTCGGGAAAGAAGAAGCGCACAAGACTGGGCGAGAAGCAGAAGATCCTGTATGCGCCAATGTCGGATGTTGGTGGTGTGCTCGTCGACAAGGACGCTGTTTACATCGACGTCAAGACTGCCACGTTCGATCCCGAGGCGGATTACACTGAGAAGGGTCTGGGCGAGCAGATGATGATTGGACTGCAGGGCGGACGGAAGCTGCTTGGTGAAGACGACGGCAACTTCAGGCTGTTCAAGGACGGCGACGTCGTTGACAACAAGACCCTCGAGGACGATATTGCGGATACGGGTCGACGGTCTCAGCGCACGGCTAGGGCAGCAGACGCTGAAGAGGTCGACGATGAGGATCTCGATGGCATCGACAGCGACGATGAGGAACTGCAGCAGGACCACAGCGATGCCGACGACGACGAAGACGATACCGGATTCCTGGATACCAACGGCCCACCGAACGGCAAGCTCAAGGTCTCGCGCAAAGAGAAGGAGACGGACACTGCCGAGGACGTAGCGTTCGCAGACAGTGACTCCGATCTCGGCTCAATATCTGGCGACGAACATGATCTGGAGGATCTCGAAGAGGGCGATCTTGATTCTCAAGACTCAGACTCTGATGAAGCTGAAGATGGCGCACGGTGGAAGGCAAATCTCCGAGAGAATGCTGCGAAACTACACGGACGGAAACGACCGTACCGCGTTACAGACCTTGCGAAGATGATGTATAATATGGACTTGGCGCCGGGAGAGGTCCTCAAGAAGTGGAGATGTGATGAAGAGGAGGAGGATATTGAGGAGGAGGGAGACGAGGATGATGGCTTCTTCAACAAGAGAACAGCCGACGATGCTGCTAACGCTGAAGACCGTTACATTCCTAAATTCAACTACGAAGAACTGGCTGAGAAGTGGGAAGACGAGGATAACGTCGAGGCTCTCATGGGCCGCTTTGCTACTGGTCATATGAACGGCAAAGGCGGGGATGATGATGAAGATAACGACGACTTTGAAGGCTTCGATGAAGACGACGAGGGTGACGGCGAGTTTGAGGATCTGGAAACTGGCGAGAAGCACGGTGGTGAAACTGAGAACACTGGGGCTGAAGCTGAAACAAACGACATCGAAGCAGAGCGCGAAAAGAACGCTCGGCGGAAGGAGGAGTTGAAGCTTCGGTTCGAAGAAGAAGATCGAGAAGGCTTTATGAACGACAAAGCTGATGCAAGAAAAGAGGGTGGTGGTGAAGAAGAGTTCGGCGAAGACGATTGGTACGACGCACAGAAGGCCATGATTCAGAAGCAACTCGACATCAACCGCGCTGAGTTCGACCAACTGGATGAGATATCCCGTGTTCAGGTTGAAGGCCACAAGGCGGGAACATACGCTCGCATAGTGCTCGAAAACGTACCCTACGAGTTCTCCGCACACTTCAACCCCCGATTCCCCGTTCTCATCGGTGGCCTGACGCCAACTGAAGAGCGCTTCGGCTTCGTCCAGATTCGCATCAAGCGCCACAGATGGCATAAGAAGATCCTCAAGACGAACGATCCCCTCATCTTTTCGCTGGGTTGGAGACGATTCCAGACGACACCCATCTACAGCATCTCCGATTCACGAACGAGGAACCGCATGCTAAAATACACACCGGAGCACATGCATTGCTTCGGCACCTTCTACGGCCCCCTCGTCGCCCCAAACACCGGCTTCGTCTGCATCCAATCCCTCTCCAACAAAACCCCCGGTTTCCGCATTGCAGCCACGGGCGTCGTCCTCAACGTCGACGAATCCACCGAAATCGTCAAGAAACTCAAACTAACCGGCCACCCCTACAAGATCTTCAAAAACACCGCTTTCGTAAAAGACATGTTCAAATCGAGCCTCGAAATCGCAAAGTTCGAAGGCGCAAGCATACGCACTGTGTCGGGTGTCCGCGGGCAGATCAAGCGCGCCCTCAGCAAACCCGAAGGAAACTTCCGTGCTACGTTTGAAGACAAGATCCTCATGAGCGATATCGTGTTTCTCAGGGCGTGGTACCCCATCAAGCCCCGCCGCTTCTACAACACCGTCACCAACCTGCTCAACCCCGCCCTGCCCGGCCTCCACGACGGAGAGTCCACATCCTGGACCGGCATGCGCCTAACGGGCCTCGTCCGCTACGAAAACGGCATCGAAACGCCCTCGGAGAAAAACTCCGCCTACCGCCCCATCGACCGCCCAACCCGCGTCTTCAACCCCCTGCGCGTCCCCCGCAAACTCGCCGCAGACCTGCCCTTTAAAAGCCAGATCGCGACGGTCAAGCCGCAGAAGAAACAGACGTACATGCAGAAACGCGCTGTGGTGGTGGGTGGCGAGGAGAAGAAGGCAAGAAGGCTGATGGATCAGGTTGTTGCGATTAGGAATGATAAAGTGGAGAAGAGGCGCAAGAAGCAGGAGGAGAGGAAGGACCCGTATAAGAAGAAGGTCGCCGAGAATGCGGAGAAGAGGGCGGAGAGGGAGAAGAGGGAGAAGCAGGAGTATTGGGCGAGGGAGGGGAAGAAGAGGAGTCATTCTGGGGGGGATGAAGGGGGTGGGGGGAAGAGGAGGAGGTAGATGATGAACCTTTTTGGGAAAAGATTAGTGAAGTAGCATTTTTGTGGCGTTTAGATATGGTATTGTAGTTGAAAACATCATTTGCTCGTTCACATCCGACGAGATTCTGTTTTGTGCATGCACTGACATATCTCACTAGCATGCTGATCTCAGAGTATTGTGGTGAGACTTGATCTTCTTATTGTAGCATCCGCCATTACACAATATAGTCCCCGAAGCCCCATCGCTTCACCAGATTAACTATTCTGCCTACACATGTGCAATGCTATACACCACCACATATTGCGCTGCTGTCTTCCCACCAAGATCCTCCTCTAAGACGACCCCGTGGGCCAAACAACCCATGCCATTGGAGAAACAAGTCATATGCGCCGCCCATATGCAACGCAATCATCTAGTAGGAAAAAACCCAAAACAGAAGCTACATGTGCTCCTTACAGAAAATGCCAATGCCATGAGATATAAAACGCCAGCTGGAGTAGCAACCCGGACATGCAAGGTGAGAGAGAGAGAGAGAACGAAGAAGAAGAAAAAGTGGGGTATTGAACGCCGAAAAAAGAATTATGGTGGAGAATTGAATTTTGCGAACTATCGCTGCTGTCATGGTCGTTTCTTCGTCTCGCTTTCGGGGGTTCTGCTTTCTATGGGGGTGCTTGTTCTTCTTGATGACCATGTTGATGGGTCGAAGTGGATGGCGACTAGCCAGGCACATAGTATGTTGGCTAGGTGGTGTAGAACGTATGCGTACGTGACGCCATAGACAGCGGCGTATGCACCGATGGAGAAGAGCAGGATGTTTGTGAGGATCGAGACGCGGAACTCGGCGCGAGGGACCATGCGACCAGTGCTGAGTGTTTCGACGAGCAGGATGAATGGCATGATTGAGAGGATGTTGTGGTGTGATGAGAAGGGTGTCATCCAATGTACCGCGAGGTTGCGTATCCAGACCACCAACACCGGAAGATTGATGGGTAGTATCCAGAGCATGAGGATGAATATCGAGTGTGCGTAGTTGTAGAAGTTGTAGTTTGAGTCCAGACTGGATTCTGTCGCCAATCGGTAGGCACGGACGCTAGTTGCGAGCTGCACCAGGCAGAGCACAACGTAAGCGAAATGGTACGGTATCACTGTCGAGACCAGTGACAGCAGGATCAACGTGGTGATTACGCGCTGTCGATTTGATGTCACGGCAAAGGCTGATGGCGATCTCTTTGCTTCATCTCTCCGAAGTCTGGCAGATATGACAACAGAGTACAAGAAGGCGAACAGGAGTTCCAACAGCAGTACAATGTAGTTGATTGCCACACAAACTCCGATGCACATCAGACCGAATAGTGGAACAAGGAACCAGAAGAAGGTGTCGTCCGAGCCGAGAAGCAATTCGTTGCTTGCAGTGTGCAGCAGTGATGTCGTGTTAGTGGTCTTACCACCCAGAGACCATTGTTTCGATTGGTGTTGGGCACCTGCTAGAGTAATCGACATAAATGTAAGCGCGGAAAGGGCTAGTGGCAGCGAGCTCTTCAAGCACTCATTGAGCCCCTGCGTAAAGCTCATGAACACACCAGTATTGTCGTACGTTCTGAACTGTTGGCGCAGAACTAGAGCGACGACCAGCAGTGGGAACGCAGCGAAAACAATACGGTAGCGCATCCACAGCTTTCCGAAACTGCCCAGGATGTCCACATTCAGGTTGATTTCTACACTGCTGTCGCAAGTCGGGTCAGACCAGATCTGTAGCGATAGTCCATTGGAGGGCTGTTTGGCGTGGAGAGCAGGTGGCATGTATGGCGACACACCATGGAGGTTGATGCTAGCATCCTTGACGTTGACGAAGAACTTGCTTTCGTAGATTTCGGTAACATACTGCCGCAGTAGAGGAGCGAAGAGCTCTCCAGCATCACAAGACTGCTTGCCGATGTGGATGTTGTAGGCTAGGAGTGCGGAGTGTAGGGCCGGGATCTTGATGTCTGTCACCAATGGACGTTGTGCTGGAAGTCTGAGAGACAGTCCAGTCGTCAAAAGGTGCTGCAAGCCCATATCAACGGTGATCTGAGAGTCAGAGGCGGCGCTGAATTCGGCAACTACCCAGCCTGTGCTACGCTCTCCAGCCTTGTCGACCACGGCCACGAACTGATGCTCTGCGAGATCTTCGATGTCGTATTGGAGGTAGGAGAATGGTCGTTCGTCCATCTTGAAGGGGTAGGTAGAGTGGCGCGTTGATGCAGGGAGGGCGATCACGTCCGACGCAGCATTCTTGCAGGCAAGTCGTGTGGCGCCGACACTATCACCCGAGAGATCCATGTTCATAGAGAACAGCGTCGTCGATTGACCAGGTTGCGATGGAAACACGCTGCAGAACAGCACCTCAAGTAGGCCATGATCTCCAGGATGGTCCAGTTGTTCGTTGGTAAGAAGCGTAAACTTTCTTCCCGCGGCTTGGGGTGGCACGGGGATGAGGTGTGCATTCGGCCGTTGCTTGGACTTTCCGAGACTTCGCAGCACCAGCTTTTCACCTTCTGCGATGATGGCGCTGTTCTCCTCGAGAGTGAGGAGTGTTTTGGCCTCTTTCTGGGGGAGTGTCTTTTCAGCAATATCTTCCAAGCCTGTCAAGAACCACCTCTTGAACCCGCGCATACGTTCAGCCCGTGGTACAGTCTGCGTCGCGCGTGACACATCGATGACCTCGTACAAAGCACGGACAACAGCCTTCCTATGCTGGTCACACCAAGTGATCGCCAGGTGATCAATGCCAGTCCAGACATTCGGCATCGACGTGGAAAAGACGGTGAACCCGTGGGTTTCAGGTACCAGTGACTCGATGCTGGCGTAATCGGAAGAGATCATAGTATCCAAGCTTCCTCCTGCTATCGAGATGAGCGTGACGTGCCAGAGCGGGTTGTCGATGGCCCATTTCTGCGAGTATGCGTTTCTCCAGTATTCATTGACGCCCTTGTATGTGCGGACTATATCTCCATCAAAAGACACTGGCGGCCGGGCGTGCGGTGCAGCGAGCGTTATTATGGTGTTGATCGAGTTGGCCTGGTAGTTGGGCATGGTGAGCATGGTACGCGCGACCACACCGCCCATGGAATGCCCGACAACAATGACCGACGTTGGATCTGGCAGGCTTGAGTCGCGCAGAAACTTGCCCGGGGTGTGGTATAGGGATAATATGTATGTGATGGCATCGTTGAGGTATTCGGCCTGATCCAGCAGCGTTTGGCCGTGGAACGCCGTGATGTCTTCGTTGAAGTCGACCGAGAAGAAGTCGAGTGGCCTCTTCCCTGCCTTGCCGGCATCGGCGTCGTGTTGGACGGTGTTGTGGTAGTGGTATGCGGCTTCGGCGGCGAGGGAGCGTACTTGTTTGTAGCTTCCAGCATTTCCAGGGACGAAGAGCACTGGCACGCCCTTGACCTATATGATGTCAGCGTTTCTCACTTCGCACGAGACGAAGCACATGCCCTGGTATCCTCATCCAAGCTACCTTCCCGGTATAAATACAGCGAGTATTTGCTTGCGAAGCGCGTGTGTTCGGTGTCGAAATCGTTGTATCTCTTATAGCTGGGCCGCATGTAGGACATGCCGCAGCCTTTGACGTCTAATTGCCGCGTCAAGAATGACTGGGCCATGAGGAACATGGCAACAAAGGCCGCCAATGTCGTCAAGAGAGTGCAGGGCGAACATGCCCACGGAGAGCGAAGCCGGTGGCGCCATTTCTTATTGTGGTCCGCGACCATCGTGTGCGGTGGGCTGTCTTTCACTAAAGCGCCCATGGTGGAGTCTGCCTTTTGGTGCGCCATGGGTGATCGTGCGGTGGTAAGAGAATCGGATATAGCGAGAGGGTCGACCGCCATTCGTTGTGAAGGCACGTCTGTGTGGTTCCTGGACCTGTTCTCTTTCACCCCGCCCTGCGCATTCACTAGCAATCCTTCAGTCTGAGCGTCGAGTCTATCCACATGTTCCGGAAGTGGTGCGGGTGAATTGTCGGCAGTCGATTCGGGATGGTTATGCTCGGGGCTTCGGTCTGGGGAGGAGCGCAGTCGCATCTATGGGTGGACGTCGCAGTACAACGAGAGTCGTGCCTGCCGTGTTGATATTAGAGGAGTGCAGCGTCGAGCGCACCTTCCTCGGCGAGTATATGAGTCGGCAAATTTCCGGAAGCGTCTGAAGCGACAGTGGGGGCTCAATGGGCTCAGGTATGGCGCTGGAATGCGATGCTAGCGCAGCAGGAGCCCATGGAAACGACGTCGACTTGTTGAGTGCAGAAAATGCACGGCGGGCGTGCTTGGGTGTTTGAGGAAAGGGCGTCGCAAGCTGCCAAGGAGAACCGAGTCTAGTCGTAAATCGTGAAGTAACGAGCGACGGGATCACCGCAGGGCCCTCACCGCGACCCAACGCCGCATCCGACTTACTCGGATGATCGGCAGCCTTTCAAGTGGCGAGACAGGTAGTCCAAGGATACGAGGGGTACTAGGACGACGCGCCGTCCTTATCTGAACATTGGCATGCTGGTGTTGATGCAGAATCTTTGGAGGCGTTGGCGGGTCGCGAGGCTGGCGACAGGGTTGAGGCCAGTGCAACGAAACAATGACGACGCTTTACCGGGGTTCGCTGCAAAACACCGTCGATGCGCGCCATCCTAGCCCTTCCGGTTGTGCGATAAGACCTGGAAATGCCGCATGTATGCAGTGATCTTGTCTGCATCTTCCTGCTATTGTTATGGCTACAGCAAAACCACATCGTCGTACGTTGCTGATGGCTGCTTCGGGACACACTACGGTCGCTTACGCGCCACAGCCGGATAGCCGATATGGATTGAATCCTTACCAGCTGCTTTCTATCATTCATGATGCAATCCGCCGGGTAGCTATCACGTCTACAACGTCAACAACTTCATGCACACATGGACGACATTATGCAACTGGCACCGTGGTGGAACGTAGCGTGGTAGCGGAAGCTTGAGCCAGCAATCAGGATCTGCCCGCTAGCACCCGACTTCACGAGAGGCTAACGATCCTGCGCCATCGCCGTATTGGCTCCGCAGTGTGGATGCGCCGTCGAGGTGGCTGCATCTGGCGCCTACAGCTGCTGCTGAGCATCATCACCACCAGGGAAGTGGCGACCCCGCAAAGCTGAGGGGTCAGAAGACCAAACTTGAGGACATGGCACTGGCTCCAAAGCTTTGACGTTCTTTGCGAGTCACCAGCTTAGAATCGACAAAACCGAGGCAAACGGACATCATTACAGATCAGGCCAACACATCGTCAACCACCAGACCACTTCCGAACATCGAACCAGACTCGCATTGTTTTGGTTCCTCTCAACTCTCACAGCAAACATGTTGGTTGAGATCCATCTTTTGAATCACAACTCAAACCGAGTGTAAAGAAGAAGATACACTGGGAATCTTGGAGGTTTATATACTGAGTCCTAGTCCGGAAGACGATCCCGCACATGCAAAGTGATGAATGCGCTTTCTAGTTCTCCGAAAACAAGAGACCATGTGAAGCAGGCAACAGCTCCTTGTATGATAAACTCTTGCAGATTCTCAGCGACCCGAACATCCACCTTTGCATCCTTTTTTTGAATCTGAAGATTGAAATGGGCGTGCTGCTCTCGAAAAGCAGACATCATGGTTTGGAGATATGATTCGGATATCCGGACTTCCACAGACATGAGTCATCTTGGTCGCATTTTTGTTTTCTTCTCCCAGAAACCACCATGAGTGAACTCAATTCTGGTTTTGGAAGCCAGCGAGGAGAAGTTATGAGGAACGAGAGTAAGAATCCGCAGAAGCTGGAGTATTTATAACGACTACATCACTGCAGTCAAAGTGGCGACCCCACATTGCTAAGAGGTCGGGGGTTTAGATCACAGATGCTCAGAACAGGACCACGTTCGAGCATTCAATAGCGGGGCGACTCTTTTAGATTCCTCGACTCGCACCAGCAGACATGTTGTAGATATCTTGAAGGTTTTGGTATACTTCCACTGAGTGAGTGTACAAAGGAAGACCCTCACGAAGTCTCAGAGGTTTATATACTTGCTCCCAGCCCGAAAGAGCAGCGGACAGATGGGTGCGGTCTGTGCTGTTTTCTGTCATACTTCCGGGAAAGACGTTCATGTAAAACGGAGCTGCTGTTTGGAAATTGATTACTGGATGCTAGAAGTTTTGCAGGAACTCTCAATCATCCGGTCTCTCTCTTTGCACTTCGGGTAATAAGATAGAAATCAATGTGCTCTCGAGAAGCACACATTGAACAGTTGTGTAGTTACTTCGAACAGCCGGACGACCGCAGACATTTAGTGGTCTCAACCATATTTTGGTTCGCTCTTCGCAGGAACACTCCCATGTATTGTAAGTATTAGCGTTTTGGAGGCCGAAACTTGGACATTGTGAAGTGGAAGAGCGATAAGGTAGTCAAAGCTAAGGTTTTGTGATGATTCAATGCCGCAGCCATAATTCCTCCAAATGGCGCTTTTGAGAGTGCAAGCAGCGGAGATCTTCTCGCACATATCCCAATAGTATATGAGTTTTGATCACTGCCGCGACTGTGATCATGAAGCATGTAGTTGCACTTTTTAGAGATTCTCGCCTCCAGCGCGCCATGTAATCCTCTTGCATCACTTTTGGTAAAATTAATAAACGGTGATGTTTTGTGTGGAAGTAAAGAGAAGTGTAAAACCAGGAAATTATATACTTAGGAACTCATGTAGCGCGAAAATTTGACAGCAGCGGCAAGAGTCCATGGTTGTTGCGTACAAAGGGTCTAAAGAAGAGAAAGACCATACACATGCTCGACTCCAATTTTGAACACATCACTCTCACCAGTCGGTCGTTGAAAACCTCCCGGGAGATGTATAGTGATATTATAACCCGCGAAATCAACCTTCGTACTTGTCTCATTGGATGGATCCTGTAACATTTTGAACGACGGGGAGTCCAATTCGCACATAGTGCGTAAAGATCGTAACTTTGTAGGACATCGTGGCCCGAACTCCAGCTTTTGGATAATATGTGGATTGGAAATTCTTCTGATGCTGAAAACATAAGGCCGAGCGTAGTAGTTTTTGGAAGCTTCACCAGTGACAGCGGACAACATGAACCACCTTTTTGGTTCTTTTGTGTAAAACAGTATGAAGTTCGAGGATGTAAGAAGACAAGTCTGCAGGTAGCAAAGGGTGGCTTTATACACCGACCCAGCGCGACAACATAGCTCGCAAGCCTTTTTCTTTTGGATGTCAGGAAAGCCGCGAACGATCTCCGCCATGGCATCTTGATAATGTTATTTCAGAGGAAAAGCCGTGTATTTGGTTCTATGATGGGGTGAAACCATGTAAAAGGTTTGAATCGCTTTTGAGATTTTTGGGAAGTTCAGTCGTGAGTGGAATGAGGAAAGCGAAAAGTCCAACACTCATAAAGCTTTTGTGGTTTGCTCTCAGAACATGATCTTGAACAGAATGCATTTTGGTGGGGAAAGCAGAGTCGAAGTCCGGTCATAAAGAATCTATTCAGGTATTTCCAAGGTTTGGTAGTTATCCAAAACTGTGGAAGAGCCGCGAACGTGCAAGGTTTCGATTGAGTCTTTGACGTTCCTCTTTCTCATGAAAGGCTATCGTCGAAATTTTGAAGAAAGTAAGCTCAATTTATGGATGAGAAGAAACAGGAAATGAGAACGTGGAGGAGGTTTTTATACGTCTTCTTATCGCAAGCTAGTGGTCTATCACGGTTAGTGTAGACGCACTCCCGTTCTCAAAGTCCAGTCAGCTCGCGCCTATGTTTGCGTCTGACGTCGACGTCATCAGTCTTCTTTTGCGGTACCTCCTTTTGTGTTCGACTGAGCTCCAGCCTACCACCTCGATGTTCCGATGAGCGATTTACCAGCTGTCCAGCTGACAGCGGTCCGATACCACGACTACTGATCAGCACTCACACGACATCCAACGCAGATCCCAACTTTTGCATTACCGGCGACGATCGAACACACGCATAATGGGAGGCATACGTGAAGTTGTGTGCAGCTGGCGGCAACCCCGCCCAGCAAAGAACGAATAGATATTGGGTATCAAAACTAAAAGAACACAAATACAGCTCACGAGGCCAGCTCCGCAACCGCGCCCCAAATCGACGACCAAATCCCCCTCCTCTCATTTTGTTGTGCCTGCTGGTTCTGCTCCGCACTCACTCTCCTCATCTCCTCAAGCTCCGCCTCCCAAGTCAACACAGCATCCTTCTCATCCCGAATCGCCAAATCCGTCGGCTGCAGCGCAGCCGCCTCTTCAATCAACGTAACCGCCTTAACACTACTCTTCTCATCACGCATCAGCCTCAAACACCTCGCATGCCTAAACAGCATCTTAGCGCTCTGCGCATTACTCGGCGTCCACGTCGCACCCGCATGCTGCGCAAACCGCGCAGCAGCCGTCTCGCACTTGCGCAAATGGCCAATCGCAACACGGCCATTGCGCTGCACAAGCGGTCCCTGAGATGCGTCGTTCGCCATATCGACTTGCAGGAATTGTGCGTGGAAGAGGTTGAGCGTGAAATAGAGATCGGCAGTTTTATTGACGAAATCCTCGCCGCCGGCGGCTTGCAGCCCCGCCCACGAGGAAGAGTGGCGCATGCGCTCGAGGGTGCGCATGGCGTAAGCCCAAGATTCAGAGGCAGCGTAGAAATTGGATTGTTGCCATTGGCGCTTCCCGACGTCGACGCCGGTGCCGATTTCCTCGATTGTGGACTCCGGGTCTGTCCAGCGGGGTTGCGCGACTTGCGTGCGCACGCTATCTGCGAGGGCGGGATCGACGAAGCCGGAGATGCGCATGTTGGGGATACCGCGCAGAGATGTTGCAATGGGCTCTAGCAGGCGCTCCTGGATCTTCGGGGTGAAGAAACGGGTTTGCGCGTAGTTGAGACGGATGGTGGCGTTGATGGAGGCGTGTTCTGTGGTCGTTGAGTTTGCATCTGCCATTACGGTTTCGATGTCCAGCTGCTCGCATAATTTCGGCAGATCTGACCGGAGCATCATGATCTCGAACTCGGAGAACTGGAATGGCGATGGCGTGAACGCGGGCTTGGATAGCGTGATGTGCATGACGTGGCCGTCGAAGACGCTTACTTTGCGTGCATCGGTTGTTATGACGGGGATGCCTTCGCCGAGGAACAGGTTGCGCGAGTCCAGACCTCGGCATGTGATGCGGACGAATTGGTTGCGCTTGATCATGTAGTCTGACGCTTCAGCGTAGATCTGCTTGTTGGCGCGGAGGAGCGAGGGTGATGGGTTGCTTGGGCTGCGGCGGCTCAGCTTGCTGCTCATGCTGGGGTCTTGCTCGAGTTCATCTTCCCAGGAGCATAGCAGCAGGTCGTAGATGTTGTTTCTGATTTCTCCGGGCAGGTCCAGGAAGCGGAATGGCTGAGTTGCTTGGGTGCAAGACATCTTGGTGAATGTTGTTGAGTTTGGCAATTGAATTGCTTGGGAAGTGGTCGGTATGTCGCAGTGGAATGTCGCTCAGGAAGTAGAGTCGCTGGGCAAAGAAGTCGCTCAGGATGTGTCGCTATGGAATGAAGCTTGTCAATGATCAGGAGAAGAAAAATGTCGCTGTGGAAGTTTGTCGCTCAGGAAAGAGTATATGTCGCTAGGCCAGCCGGGTTTACATATATACTTTACGCATATGATGATGGGGAAAAACGTTGAGTAAAAGAGGCGGTAAAAGATTTGATTCGTGTTGTCAAGAAATCGCAATCCGCTGGGAAATTTTCGTAGTCTGAGCGCAAAAACGTGCATGGACTAAGGATGTCGAAAATTGACTCGCGGCTTTCTTTGGGGAAACTCGGGGGGAGCACGAGCGTTCTTATGCTGGCGGTAGAATGTTCGCCGGGTGGGAAGTGGACCCGCGAAACCGCTGGTGCGAAGTGTGTGAGGTGAGTCGGTTCTGGCGGATCCGTCAGACTCTGTAGTGCGGAGAAGCGTGAATGGAAGGGCCTGAAGCTGCACTGTGATGTCGGACGAGACTGTGCTAGGCGATGTTGGGTGTTAGCCTGCGATCTTTCCCGGAAGCCCTTTTTCGCTCTCCCCGACGGAAAACGATCCGCTGTCGCCATGCAAATAGGGGTCTACGGCAATCGTTCGTGATGACTTCGGAGAAAAAGGACATTCCTCGGGCTTATTGCGCGTTCCTGAATCCCCAGATTTGTGTACTTGAATTGAGGCGCGCCCCCAGAAGCCACATTCGAAGTTCCCCGGCCGTCTCCGCACTAAACAGCTCACACCCCCAAGAACACCGCTATTGCTGCGTCCGCTTTTGGTACATGAAGGAGTGTGATTTCAGCCACTAAAGAGCTTGGATTCGCGAGATATGGGGCAAGCATGCTGTGCGACCATCATAGCGCCTACAGCTGACCGGAACATGCTTTCCTCAAGCAGAAGGTCCCACCCACCAGAGGTCATACTCCTATCAGTGGCGGTGGGTTAAGATTCAACTATTGAAGGAATCGCATAATTCACGGAAGAGTACAAAAGCGAACGCTTCCCCTCATCGTGTTACTCGCTCGATGCCGATTTACCCTAGCGTACGTGGAGTAGAGAACAACATGTCCTCTACAGGAGTGGAGGTTGTTGATAAGTGACTTGGATGAAGGAATTCGAACGACATCGCCTGTTGCTTTCTCACTCCCGCTGATGTCACTGGGAAATCAGTATGACACATGCTTTGCTCTATAGGTTCTAGCAATTGGTTTCAGTGAGCCAGGCTCCTGTCTGTATCGACGGCGTTCACTTCCGCGCCGTCTTTCCCTTGCCCTTCTTCTTCCTGCTCCTGCTCGCTTCCTCCATCTCTTCGAGCCACAGCGCCCCACTAGCCTCAATGTCCTCCCTATTCTTCAACTCCTTCACCACTTTCTGATACGCTTCATTCGCAGCTTCATCCATGTCCTCACCGAATCCATCAGCACCGAATCCTCGGCACTCAAACCAGACGCATGCCAGCGGAACCACGTTAGCCCCCTGCACCCAGCCCCTCATGAGATGCAACCACATATCTACAGCCTCTTCATGGCTGCCGCCTTTGTATAAGAATGTCGCGATGTCACGCACAACACATTCTGGTATCGGGTACTCGTAAAAACCAGGGCCGACCTCCCAAGCCGCTTCGAAGGTGCTCAGCTTAGGGAAGTGCTGCGTGAGGGTATGCGCATCCCGCAATATCTCCAGGAAAGTCTCTCCAGGTTGCTGACGCTTGCGGAAATGACCGGTACCATCGCCTCCATCGAACAGACTGTTATGGCTCGGCGCTATGCCGTACCTTCCATACGGTCGGGGTACCGTATCATGGTACAGGTGCCTTATCTTCGTTGCCGTAGCAGCAGCACGGTCAGGGAACAGACGAAGCAAGCCGCTGAGTGGCTTGTGAAGTCCTTCTCGTGGGCTGTACTTGGCAGATAGCGCAATAGTGTTGGAGCGCCCAAATGCTTGCATCGCCTCATGGTAGACCTGTCTGGAAACGAGGAAAAGGTTGATAGCGTCTTCGCACGGCCCGATATCCTTCAGATCTGGATTGCGGTGCGCATTGTAGTATATGCCTTCTGGGCGGTAGACAACGTAGTGGAAGATTCTGTCTCGAAGTTCGCGTGGGAAGTCGAACAGCTTGAATGCGCCGGTCCACTTGGGTAGCTGAACCCTGTCCAGAGACCACGGGGGGATGCCTCTGCCAGAACAACCGCGTCCCACGATATAGGAGTGTGGCTCTGCAGGAGTAGGCGCTGCTGGTGTTGGGCGGGCGAGGAGTATTGAACCAAATGCTGCTTGGAGTTCGGGAACTGAAGATTCGGCTTGATGTGTGGTAGCCATTGCGTTCTCAAGGATTCCGCGTAGGTCCGTGCTTTCTGTAACTAAGGAAGCCACGATAGTCACGTTATTGCAGTTGTCGACTGATGGTGCTGGAGGTCGAGTTTCCAGGAAGCAGTATATAGTGTACTTACCACATGCACTGCCACAGTGAGTCAAGGCGTGGCTTTAACTCGGGACTATTCTACGACACATCACTTTTAGCTTCTTCGACTCACCGCTACGGAATGCCATTGGTCTGGTAGCGTGGTAAGGCATACAGCGACAGCGTATAGTGTTACGGAGGACTCGCGATGGACTGCGATTGGAGTAAGCTTAAGCGATGCGATGCATGTGGCTGTGAGTGGTGAAAGTATCCGGGCACATAGACGCAGCTGTCGGTATGTTCAAACGAGTGAACGAGCGCGAAATGAGAATGCACATGGTGCTAGCGCATGTGAATGCAGTTGTGGTAGACTTGGGATTAAGCATGGCGGGAGGGGAGAGGTCTGCGAGCGGCTGTCAGCCGTAGCTCCGACGCCCAGCCGAAGAAGCACTGACCGTCAAGATTCGCAAAACCTCCGCAGCATTCCTGCACCACCACCTCTCCACCCGTCCAACCCAGTCTCCATCTCCTCAACGCCTCCCACAGACATCATGTTCGCTGCCAGGCAAGCTTTCTTCCAGGCCCAGCGCCGCTGCTTCTCGGCCTCGGCCCGCCAGGTAGGCCTATTCCCGGAACCCGCGATGTTTTGTGGTGGGGCGGTTCAATGCTTCAATGCAGCGCCATTGGGACAATCCAAGCACGAGATGCTAACTGCATGCACTGTAGAACTCCAAGGTCACCGTTCTCGGCGCCGCTGGTGGTATTGGTCAGCCATTGTCCCTGCTGCTCAAGCTCAACCCCAGGGTTAGCAAGCTCTCCCTCTACGACATCCGTCTAGCTCCCGGTAAGCTCGCTCAATTGCATACACGATATTCAATTCTGACTTCATACAGGTGTCGCTGCCGACATTGGCCACATCAATACCAAGAGCGAGGTACGCCAACCCTCCGAAGCCATACGCGAACCATCTACTGATACTCGACAAGGTTACCGGTCATGAGGCCACTCCCTCAGGTCTCGCCGACGCCCTCAAGGGTGCTGAGATCGTCGTCATCCCCGCTGGTGTTCCCCGCAAGCCCGGCATGACCCGTGATGGTGAGCATAGAAGTCACTGATACTGCCGACACGTCTAACACGGGCAGACTTGTTCAACACCAACGCCTCCATCGTCCGCGACTTGGCCAAGGCCTGCGCCGACCACGCCCCCGAGGCCAACATCTTGATCATCTCCAACCCCGTACGTTATACAATTACGACTCGATAGAGCATAGTCTAATCCATCTAGGTCAACTCCACCGTCCCCATCACCGCCGAGGTCTTCAAGTCCAAGGGCGTCTACAACCCCAAGCGCCTCTTCGGTGTCACCACCCTCGACGTTGTCCGTGCCTCGCGCTTCATCTCGCAACTCAAGAACACCGACCCCGCCACCGAGAACATCACCGTCATCGGTGGCCACTCCGGCGCTACCATCGTTCCCCTCCTGTCCCAGTCCGGATACAACCTCGAGGGCGAGCAGCTCGCCGAGTACATCAAGCGCGTCCAGTTCGGTGGTGACGAGGTTGTCCAGGCCAAGGACGGAGCTGGCTCTGCCACTCTCTCCATGGCCATGGCCGGTGCCCGCTTCGCCGAGTCGCTCCTCAAGGCTGCCCAAGGCCAGAAGAACGTCATCGAGCCCACCTTTGTCGACTCTCCTCTCTTCAAGGACCAGGGCTGCGAGTACTTCTCCACCAACGTCGAGCTCGGCCCCAACGGTGTTGAGAAGATCCACCCCGTTGGCAAGATCACCGACCACGAGCAGAAGCTCCTCGACGCCTGCGTCGCTGATCTCGCCAAGAACATCAAGAAGGGTGTTGAGTGGGTCAAGCAGAACCCATAAATTCTACAATAGAATTATGAGTGTGTACAACAATAATGACGTGAGCTCTGGGCTGGGTTTAGTTCTGATGTCATGAACTTTGATCTGTACCTTAGCATGCCAAAATCAACTCTTACGCTTCTCCAGTTGGTTGTTCACGACGATTCTGTACATATACCAACATGATTCCAAGTCCCACCCATGATAATTTGCCAACTCCAATATCGCGTAAGTTAGGTTGGGAGAAAAGAGCGCCAGGCACATCGGCCTTAACGCGCCTTGTCCGGACTGCTGAATATATTGTATTTCGTCTGATCTTGAGCCAGACGTTACCCGATCAAGCAACATCGGAAGCCATTGATTGTGGTAGAATATCCTTCACCTCTACCCTCCACGAGACACCACTACGCGTCTCGTGGGTGGAAGAATGTAAGTGATAAGCGCTAGCTACCTCCACGGATCAGATTGCTTCCAGATGAGGCTTGGCTTGAGGTATTGACCGGGGTCGTTCTCTGCTAGGATCTACTTGGTGAGATAATGTCCATGATACGGCGCCTGTCTATGCTCGCCATTCTGAATCTCTTCCCTGGGTCCAAAGATTCGTGCAGACATTCCAAATCTCGTCAACTTCTGTGCGGAGTCTGTTCTTGTGACCATGTCATGTCCATATATACCATCGATGGCTGTTTCTCAGATCCTAGGATGTAGCGCTTCTTAGAGGACAGAGGAGATTTGTTTGTGAGGAAAGTAAGTGATCGTGTTTGAGATGGGCGGCCGGTGTAGTTCCGTAGCGGCTTGCGCGACTCGAACGCGAAACCATCTTGATTGCACAGCGATGCTGAGAAGTGTGGCTGGCGAGAATCTCGGCATCGCGTTGTGGGGGTGTGGGGCGTCCAGATAGGGTGAAGAGGAAGGTGCCATCCGGTACGCGTCTTAGTCGCGGTACTGTTTACGCAATATCACTTTGCGCTTAGTTGCGCCAGCAGGACCGCGACTAAGACGCGTATTAGACGGCAGCTTCCTCTTCAACGTCGGCTAATCTAACTGTTCGGCTCGATACAGCGTGTCGTGCTCTCAGCAACGCCTGGGCATCCTTCGGTCATGAATCCAGGTTCAGAGCAGCGACACTACGTCATCGCGCATTCCGAGACTTCTGATCCTCACGAACACGATCACGTCCCGTTGCATCATCACACCATCTTGTTTGTCTGCATCGACTAGGCTCGACGTGCTTGCGTCGTCGTCGGTAGAGACTCCCATCGTGCGCGTCTGCCAGTCGGTGAGCCTACACCTACACGGTTTCTTCTTTTCCTCCCTTGCCCCCTCCGCTGACACGGTAACCGTGCTATATCCGGTGTTAGGGGGCACCAGCTTCGGCCCTGTACTGCCTGTCTCCTGTCGACTCAAAGATCCGTGGGCGTCGGAGAGTTCTGTCTCCTGGATTTCGGGATAGACAATGCCGCTGCCGCCGACGCCGAGGAGGCGCCTGATGCGCGGAACGCTCGCCGAGATCAAGGAGAGGCTGGATACAGATCTGAAGTGGTCAGTTTTCGAAAGACATTGATCAATCCGAACGTACTGGGTAAAGACGACAAACTCAGCTGCATCATCTGCGTCCATTAGGTCTACGCTGCTCGGTTCGTGTCAAGCTCACTCACGTGTGGGGTTTGGACTGGAAACCACCCTCAACGTCGCCCATATCTGACCTCCAGCAACGATGGCAACACTATAAAGTCAAGACCAGGAAGTGCAAAAACGTGGCTGGCGAACTCACATTGCTCGGACACCAAAGAGCATCGTCACTGCGATGCTTTTCTCTTTGTCCAGAGACATCTTCCAGAAGGTCGGAACGATCCAAAAAGCCAAAAGAAGGTCTGTAGCAATATTGATCGCGGTGGCTGCGGTTGAAAGACCGCCGTTTCCACATTGCAGTGCATGCATAGTCCACCGCGGAATCCCACATTGGAACGCCACCGCAAAGGTCGAGAATATAGCAAAGAGCGCAATGCTTCCGAACAGGGCCACCTTTGCTCTTCGGGATTGTGGGAATATGCGCTCGATGAGCAAAGCCGAGGACAGTTTCGCGAGCGCCATTGCAATGATACTAAGTATTCCAGCAACATAGATCGCCTGCAGCTCTGATTAGCGGTAGCCACCTGATGGCATTGGAGCTAGTAACCTTGAAGAGCAGAGTCAGCTCCTTACCACTCAAGCCATCCAAGTCCTTCCCTAGGCTCCCGTCGATAGCAAACTGCCAGCTGACAGTCGCGCCTAGATATACAACCTAAGAAATGTTTAGTATCACTTGCATCCATGGAAGCGAGATACATACTGTGGCTGCAACGACTGCCACATCGTCGAGACCGAATTCGATTTTGTGGTTGTGACCCTGCGCAAATCGTCCGACCAACACGCCCACCGTTATGATAGTCCATGAGTAAGTGGAGACATGGACGAAACCGCTCCTTGTTGACACCCCATTGCTACGACCTTCCTCCGAACCTGCGGAACTCATTGTAGAAATTCAAAAAAAAAAAAAGCAGCAACAAAGGAAAACTGAATGACATTCTCATTCGGGAAGCGTGCAGCTTATGGTTGACGTTGAAGCATCATTCCACACGGCTCGGCCTTACACTCATCGCACCGACTCTCAGCTGCGCATCCAGATACGTCTTGTCTTGGGTACGCATCTGGGGCCAAACAACCCAACCATGGCCCAAGCTTGAGTCTTCGAAGCATGTCAGGGTCTCATTCGTGTGTTTTCGCGGCCCTTGAGTCTGCCGCATGCTTACTGTCTGTGCACCTGCCCGGCCGCTAGTCCGTTCTCCGTAATGTTCATGTTCATCCGCTGCACCTCTTCAAGCTGCAGCTCGCTGAATCATCTGCTGCATTAAAGTCAGCTCGAACAACGTCTGAAAGTACGGCTTTCCGTCCTTTTGAACGATGGCGGCCTGGACGGTGAACTACCAAGTCTCGGCTTCACACTCCATCAGGAAGCGGAACGGTTCGTTCAATCCTGCGTCGATCGCTTGGTCAAAAGACTCCAAGCCGGGAGTTTCGAGCTCAAACCCCGCCTCATGTTACGCGTAACGACGATAAACTGCCCTTAGTGGCGCCGGCTACCGTGTGGACGGTACCGGACAGCGCGAGCTTATTTGATGGAGCGGCCATCGAAATATCACCCATGCGACGAACGACAGCACTGTAACTTTACGAGGCGGTTGGTGCATTGGATCTAACCATTTGCATGCAGCGGAACGCCCCGGAAACATGACCCTTGGACGCTGCTGGCCGTAAGAACGGACTTGCATACGGCAGTGTGGTTTGCAGCGCTTGATAGAGACACTGCATACGATGTCGGGCGCCTTTTCGTGTTTCATTTAGCCAGAAGAGCCAGTAGAAGAGCTGCCAACTTCCAGAGCTTCTCACGCAGCGCGGTCCGCAGCTCCCTGGTCGTATCGTACTTCTCCAGGGCACTGGTAGGATCGCTGCATCTTGCAAACTCACTTGACTTTGCCATCCCGCACGTCACCCACCGGCCATTGCCTTGGGACCTCTTGCGCCGGCATGGAACTCGATAATCACATGGCAGATGCTGAACTCGATGTTCTGGATCAAGAATCTGGTCAGGGCGAGAAGACGGCGGTAAATACGCCGGCTGGGCCTTCGGGAGTGGGGCGATCACCATATCAGCTCGAGGTGAGCATCACTTGAGCCGCTTCAGCAAAGCAGCGTACTGACTAGAGCAGCGTTATATCAACCTCTCAGCTGTAATCAACTTTGCTGTGATCATTCTCGCTTCTTGGGAGTCGTTTGCAGTGACATTCCAGTTCGCATTGACCAACGGCGGTCCCGCATCCATCTTCTATGGCTCTATCCTGGCTGGCATCGGCGCCTGTGCCGTTGGATTCTCACTGGCTGAGTTGGCTTCAATGTATGTACCGAGCATCCGTCCTGGAATCTTTTAACAGCTTGACAGAGACCCAACAGTCGGTGCTCAGTACCGCTGGTCAGCGAATCTCGCTCCTGCTGCACCTCGCTTCTGGGGTCTACTGCAAGGTAGGTCAACATACTCACCGACATCGATCATAACTCACATCGGCAATAGGATGGATTACAGTCGGTGCCTGGTGCTTTGCTTGCAGTGGACCGCCTTCCATACTAGCCAACATCATCACGTCACTGGCGATCTTCAACAACGAGAACTACGTTCCTGAACGATGGCACACCAGCCTCATCATGGTCGCGCTCATGATAGTTCCCTTTATCTCGAATCTCTGGTTTCGCAAGCTTCTCGACGCGTTCGAAACCACTGGTGGCATACTTCACGTCTGCCTCTTCATTGTAATAATCGCCGTCTTCGTCGCGTTTGGACCGCGCAGCGACCCGGACTTCGTCTTCAGGACACTGACATGGGAAGAGTCAGGATGGAACAACAAGGGCGTTTCTTGGGGTCTTGGACTTTTAAGCATGAGTTTCGCCGTTGTTGGAGCAGACAGTGTTCTGCACATGTGTACGTCTACGAGTTTGCACACAGTGCTCATCTACTGACTGGATGTGAAGGTGACGAGGTGAAGAAGGTGCGCACGCGCGTGCCACGCAGTATCATAATTACCTCTGTCGCGAACTCGGCGATGCTGATCGTCTTTGCTACTATCGTTCTCTTCTACATGGGCCCTCTCGACGTTATCGTCGCCACCCCGCTTCCAATCCTATGGGTTATTTACAACATCACTGGTTCTTCAGTGGCAGCTAATGTCCTCACCGCACTCATAGCCCTCATGATCTTTTTCGCCCTCTTCAACATATTTGCGTCCGTCTCAAGACTTATTTGGGTATTCGCACGCGACAATGGTCTGCCGTTCTCCGACTTCTTCTCTTACGTAGGTGGCCTTTACGAGCTCTTGTATCATTGCATTAGCTGACAAACTTAGGTGCATCCCACACTCAAACTCCCCGTCAACGCGCTTCTCCTCGTTGGAACCATCGTAACATGTCTCTCTCTCATCTATATCGCCAGCGCGACCGCCTTCAATGCGCTCATCTCACTCCAAGCCCTCGCGTTGCACGTATCGTACTTCTTCCCGATTTTGTTCATCCTCCTGCGCAAAATCAGAGGCCCACCTCCACCTTATGGGCCATTTAAGCTCGGTCCTGTCGGTATACCCGTCAACATGTTCGCGCTGTGCTATCTGGTCTTCGTGGTACTTTGGATGCCGTTCCCTCAGATTTTGCCAGTCACACGAGACAACATGAACTACGCGGGACCCATCTTTGGTGCGGTCGTGATCGGGGCTTTGGCCCATTGGTTCATTAGTGGGCATAGGACTTTCAAGATGCCGGTGATTAGGTATGAGTAGATCATAGTCGGGGCGGGCAGCACTACATATGTCGTTGGATATGACGTTATGACTCGATGTACTTCTCTTGGACACAGAACTTGCTCCAAGTCGGTCCATTCATACGTAACAACCCTCCATGAATCTTAGTATGCGACGCCGGTGCTGTTCGTGGTAATGTAACATGCCTGTGCGTCAACGCCCCGCATGAGCAGCCATCCGGCGCAGGGAAAGATCTCCAATTCCCTCATCACGTTCTCGACCAACTACGCCGCGCACCTGCATTTAATTGCATTGCAGTGTGATGGGAGGATTTAAGGCCGACAAACAACAATGAACAACGTCTTGGCGGTGAGCTTGTATGGCTTAGAAAACATCCGGGGGCTGCTGATTGGTCGGCGATGACCAACTGTAAGTTGTTTACTTACGTTACACTGAGCCTGACGGGACGACGTCACAAGCTGACAGCTTCGTCGTATAAGTCGAAGGAGTATCAGGGCGAGCGAGATGTGATAGCTGTACTCAGACCTTACTATCCGCTCGATCAGTCCGCAACATTCTGACTGTACCAAAATCCCCCTACAATGGCTCCAACCCTTCCCCCAATGCCGCTTCCCGGCCTCATCATGGTGCCCAACTGGACAGCCCAGAAACACGAAGCCTTCGTCATGAAGACCGAAGGCGTACCCACGAAGAAAGCCCAAAGCCTTGTCAGCTACTGCACGTCTGAGGAAAACGCTGGAGAACCGTTCCTGAAGATATTGGAGGAAGAAAGGAACATCGTCAAGTTCATGACGATGGATGGACAGGAGGCTATGCGCATCAACGTCCATAGACACACGCTCGCAAGGCCCAGTGCAGAGTACAAGGCAGTGAGGAGCGCGGATGCGAAGCCGTTGTGGGATCTGGAGTTGAAGGCTGGTTGGAGGGTGCCTAGCTACAGTATGTCTCCTCTTCGCTCATTCCCCTGCGTGCTTCCCATTGCGATCATCTCCTCTCTACCTGTCCGCCTCTTCCTCGAACTAACACACACCCCTCTTAGACATCACCGTCCACGACATATACGTCGAGAACCAGAAAATCGAGTTCGAACGCAAAGTTGCCGGTGAGGAGAAGGGCCTCGTTGTCAACGGCAATCCGGTCATGACCATCTCTCGACACGCGAAGTGGGCGCATATGCATGCCACCTTCGTTGTGCATGTCGCGCCAGGAATGGATCTCCTGTTCGCACTCGGCGTCGCGTGGATCCGGTCGGATAAACAGAGGCAGGAAGATGCCGTCAATACTACGCTTTTGATAGTGTAGAGGGACAAAATGACGGTTCTTGCTTAGCGTACGAGTTACAATGGCGCTGGAGGATGGGGGTTGAGAGGAGGTGGCACTCTGTTGCAAACGCAGCATGACGGTTTTTGAATATAAAAAGCATCTAGCGTCTTGATCATACAGGCTCGTGTTGGCTCCGCTTCTGCTTCTTGAATAACCACTTGGACCCTCTTGTACGTTCATGCTCATGAGAGTACGATCGCTCGGGGAGACATCCAATCTTGGGTAACGCCGTGACTTCGTTTGCAATGTCCACACGTACGTCTCCGACTTTAATCTCATGTTGTGGTACCTCGCGTAGCTCCATAGCGTTTTTCTGAGCTTCATTCTCCTTTGCTGACCAAGCCCGGATCCGAGTGTCGGTATCGCTATGATTGCTCATCGCTGAGCTGAGGAGGCGAGAACCGCCGCGCGGATGTGTCGAGAAGCGTGAGGTCAGGGGTGATGTCGCAACCCAAGGCCATCGACCACTGGCCATACTCTTCCTGGTGGCTAGTGGAGAATCACTCTCTTCAGCACCCAGCGAGACCCAATCCCAACCCGCAGGCTTGCGCCACTCTTTCTTCCCGGGTTGTTCCACTGGGGCGGCATGCGCGTGCACGTTCTTTGGGTCCGAGTTCTTTTGTTTCGAGGACTGAGTGATCTCGGTAAAGAACTCAATAACGTTCTTGGGCAGCATCCTGACCACCAGTATCCGAATGGATGGTAGCGATACGCAGGCAAAACCTGCCGCAAGTTCCAACTCCGTCCAGACGGTGACCTTCACGTAGTCCCAGGTAGGGTCCACAGAGATCTTAAACGTGAGTAAGACGAATAGGCGGATGATAGTCGCAATGCATCCGAAAGTTCCGATGGCGAACATGAAGCAAACGGCGACCTTCTTATAGCGCCTCATCTGTAAGTTGCGGATGAAGAACAAAGGTAGGATTAGCAGGAGGATGTCCTGCACGATAGCGCTGATAGAGTTTGCCATCGGTACTGCTTGTATGTCCAGACACTGCCCCTTGATGTCTCGGTTCCAGAAGGATTCAACTGGAGTGCATATGAAGATTGTCAGGAAGACGATAACGGTCGAGTTGATGATGATGCCAGCTCCGAAGATGTAAGCGGTGATGCGGAAGCTTTTCGTTTGGAAGATCTCGAGGTAGAAGGCGATGAGAGAAAGCTTGATGAGGCCCAGCACGGCGATATATGTCGACCAAGAAATGTAGACTGCTTTGTGTTAGCATGCCGATAGCGATATCGCAAGGTATGGATGCTTCATACAGTAGCGGAGAATTGGCGACAGTGCCCCGTCTTCAAGATTCCACAAGTGCTCGCCGAAGCCACGTTCCGTCACTATATTGCGTTAGTTACAGTAGATGGCAGCTCGCAGACCTTTTACTTACTGGCCAAGGTGCATCCTGCGGGTACTGCGCATAACACCAGAGCAAAGACGACGATATAGTCGTCCATTGCTAGCCTCTTATTTACTAACTTGCCGACGATTCGTAGAACAACAAACACCACGGCCATGGAGTAGATGACACCAGTCCACATGAACATGTCGAGGCGTTGCGATTCGTCGGACAAGTCGCAAAGAACAGCTTGTACTCTGGCAGTGTCCAGACTTTCTTGCATAGTACAATTTGCAAGCATACATGCTGGCACGTCTGCCGCAATCCGATCGTTGCCACAGACACATTCAGTATCATCCAGGGTGCAGCCAGCTTTTGGGATAATAGCAATCATGCATACAAGCTATGTATTGTTAACAATGATATCGGACAGTGTAGTTGGGCACGTACTCCGCAAGCGGGGATGTCCGCAATGCCTAATCCCCTTGCATCGAGTTCCGGACCCGACGCGCTGGCATGGCCAAACGTGAAGACCAGACAAAAGACCGACAATAACGCAGAAAGATGCATATTGTGAATAGTGATCGATGGGCTGGTGAGACAGGCTGACCCTGGAGTCTGGTCGGCGGCCCCGATGACTTATCACCAAAGATAGATGGCAAATAAGCTTTGGAGTTGCAACATAGTCCAACGCTCTCGAACTATGTTGGGGAATTCCCATCTTCGGCGGCTCTCAAAGCGTGTTTGAGCTTAGTATAGTACTCCCGCTTTCGAAGCCAATCAAGCGGTGTGGCCGTTAGACCATAGCGCCGTGATGGCGCTGTGAAATCGCCGTAGCAGCGGCTTGACTCGATATTACCCACGGCACGTGGGCTTTTGAACCAGGCTTTTCGTTCGGTAGCAGTTGGGTCTATCGCGCAACACCCACGGAAATCTAATTCTTTACTACTGTGCAGGGAGAAAGCCTGTCCGGCCGATCTGACGGCGCTTTTCGGCCATTCGTATCTTTGCCCGATGGTAGTTGTATGGGAATGTAGGACGGGCCATACGACTGACTGGTTATGAACGCAATGGAGGCTTACCTTCCGTGAAGCTAAGGCGCATCTCGCCGTGCATGGTGTTCATATGTTTGTCGGCTTGGGGACTGATTTCAACATCGTAACTCGGCAGAATGCGCCTGGCCCAACGTAATTGCGGGAAGAGGTAGCTTAGTGTGTGATTAAGGAGTCTAGTCGAACGGTACAGCAGCCTCACTCGCACATGCCCAAGGAAGGCGCAGTTTGCTGAGAAGACCCAAACAAGGGGCAGTTGGCAAAATCAGGGTCCTAGGTGATTACCTCATCACTCACGCCGATCCGGGGCCTTTTATCCCACCCCACTCCAGATGAAAAATGGCAGCTTTGCCATCCACTCGCATCACAACACAGGAAACAAAGTTGGCTGACGTCCGTTAGCCATCGTTCTTTGACGCATGATTAACATGGGGATCTTCAACTGTCAGATTACCGACAAGTCAGAACGCTCGGAGCAGCTGATCTCGTCCAGTCCGTGCTCTACCCGCTCGAACTCTGCCTAGGCATCGAAAACACCTGCGACACTCGATTCCGCCATTCTCGTCACCTTCCATCAAGCCCCAAACGATACGCACGCCAGCTCTAAAGCATCACATCATGTTCATAAACTAAGCTCACTTGTATGCGATAGCCTTCTGGGAAATTTGTACCATCGTGATCCTACTTGCCGCATCGCCACCTGGACAGCTTTCGTAGGCAGAGGAATGTGTCATCCAATACCAGCAAACGGGTAGTCCCGAAAGCAGGAACGACATCGCTTAAGCGCGCCACGCCCATGTGTCTCGATCCGAGGGTCATCGCACCAAGCTTCTGGGCAGCATGTGAAACCTAGAGCGGAATGCTATGCCTAAGATGCCCAACGGTCTCACATATGGGAATGGTCGAATCGATCCATCCATGTGGAGGACTCAATTTGTCTGCCCATTTGGACCAGATGTAATGGCTAAAATGGTCTTGCAGATCGTCTGCTTCCAGAGCGACAAAGCCCAACGCCTCTCAAATTTGAAGAGCCGATCGCCCGTACTTGTTGTCGATCTCAGCACCCTGTCGATCCCTCCCAGCTCTTGCCATGTCGCGTCTCCATTTCTGATGTGGCTGGGTCAACATTCAAGAACTTTATACTTCCATTGGTGCGGAGCGGTGATATCGCAACAAGATGCACGCTTCGGGGCAGAGGAACAGTCTTGTACACGATCTTCAGAGTTTGTTTGCATTATCGTCCGTCCTATAGCAGCCTCGCGGTGATCTGAACATGCTGGATAGGCTGATACCACCACAAACCCGTCGCAATCTCACCCCATTGCTTCGATACGTGCGCCAAGCACAGCAATTTTGCGTCTCCAAACAACCAGTCTACTTCCAAGTTCTGTACCACTCCTCCGTAGTGAGTGGATGAATATCAGATCGGTTTGGCCGCCAGTCGCAGGTACAAGGACTGATGCTGTCCATCTCAAGGTATGCAGCATTGATGAAGCCTACAATGTTCATGGAAACCCCGAAATGCTCAAGTTGGTCCCGATTGAGTCTCTCGAATCGTAATGCAAGTTGCTCGTCTTGAGTCGACGGCAGGGGAGACCGGTGTTCAGGACTGAGTAGAATGTTGATCGAAGGTAGTGCAGATGCAGCTGCCATGATACCCATAGCGATCCGCTGTCGTCCTAGAATTAAGGCCGATCTTGCGACCCAAGCACAAACGCTATCGACATCGTGGTCTGAGGAATATCCGATTTGATGGATCCTCGTCCGAACATACGGTTTTGCGTCATCGTTCAGACTTTTCGCAAGATGCATCGATTGTGACTTTGGAAACTAGGGTTATTAGCTAAGGCCAATATCAGCAAGAAACGATCTGTAAAACGCACATTGATGTTGGAAATGTAACAGAGCGCATACAGGAGCTTTTGTAGCCCACACAGGTCGACAAATTCCATTGTGCCAATGACCTTGACGCCTCCATCCTGGATCCATTCGCGTATGGCTTTGTTGACAAGGGGAAGCGCTTCTTGGTGAACCTGATGACATGCTCTGAGAATGGCGGTTGAGACAGAGTGTGAGATCAGCGTAATCCGTTCTTCACTACCCCGATGACCAACCAGCGAATGATTGGTGGAGCGCGGAAGTCGTTCATATACCATCAAGCGAATATCCTTTGGAAGATCGAGGAAACGGAAAGGTTCCGGGGTCGCTCCGTTTGACACCATCGCCATGTTGACGGGTGACTGCAGTCGCGGCTGCCGGCGAGTACTTTGGCAGTGTATGAGGTCGTGGCAGCGACCCGAGAATCGCTCGAGCCATATTCGCGCTCACTAGCGCCATTCTGGTGCCTAACGCACGTGCGGCAAACAACCGGGTGTGGATAGTCATTTGACAAACGCTGTCAGACTCAATAGCACCAAGTCCATGACTCTTCAGAATCAATCTTCGCTCTTCATTTCAATACCAATCTGCACCGACAACATCAAGCCTGCGTGAAGACCATGATCTATTTGTCGAGCATGACTGCACCGAAACAATTCCGATTCCTCGATCTACCAAAGGATATCCGCTTGATGGTGTACGAGCGCCTACCACGACAAATCAAGCACCATCACGTCATCGACCCTTCCAAGTCAAAAGATCATTTTGTCCTTATCACGAGGTGTCTTCCAGTCGCACTTCTGGCCACCTGCAAGTCAATCAATTCCGAAGCGATTGGTATCGTACAAGAGATTCAAAACGACTTCATCTTGAGTCAATGCCCGCAATTCATCACCAGCCGCAGCCTTCTCCATCATGGCGGATTCATAATCATGTTCTACCACCTCGCGCACAAGTCCTTCACTCGAGCGGAAATGAACCCACTGTTGCACAAGATGCGAGTCAGTCTCCAGGAGCTTTGCACAAACTGTCTGAGGGAATCGGGGGTTGACGCGATGGTCGCAAGGCTCAACGCTCAGATGTCGCGTCAGCTAGCCTACATGCAGAACTCTCCGGGCCCCCGGGTTCGGCTACCGATCCGGTTCATGGTGGTGGATGATGCGGAAGGAACAATGAGTTGGGAGAAGAAGACACAAGACTGCATTGCGACCTGTTGGTGGCTAAATCTTGGTCACATGTCCGAGAATACCGTGTTCTACTGCGAAGGTTTTGTGTCGGCGGAATCGTTCACTTCTTCAGGGTTTTCACAAGATGCTACCCCTACCCGGATAGATGTTGGAAGTTGCGCTATACCCAGTATCGACGATGTCAGAGAATTTGCATTTGATGAGGGAGACTGGCGCGGTAGTTGGATGGAATGATCTGATCGTCACTGTGTCTAGACGAAGGAAAGTGTTGGAGAAGAGGTGAACCTGTCTCATTGTACATCTACTATCTGTAACCATCAGTGTCCGCTCGGCGTATGTACCGGGACCCAAGGAATTATGATCATTCTCCTTTCAGCCGTTCTTCGTCCAGCAGTCTCTCGGGTGAATACACATTGAAGGAGCTACAAAGCACTCGATACTATTGAGGAGCAGATGACCGGATATTGCGTTCATATGGCGCTCGGAAATCCGAAATAGCTGTATAGTCTGACTTCTAATCTACGCCTACGTATATCTATCATCAACGATGGCAATAGCCCTGGCACTGGCACTGGCACAATGATAGAAGAAGATGTGTTCTAGCTAGCGACGCGTATCGACAAAACGAAAACCTTAATAATTTGTTGTCTGCCGCATATGGGTAGTATAAAATTGATTGGAGAGTACATCAAGACGCCCTCGGCGCATACATGACCATCTAAGACAGGTTTATCCTCACTGACCGTATCACACCATCAAAGCGCCGTGCCTATCCTCGCGAACAGCACTCATGCGCCTGCTACGCGCTTTGTCAGGTGTCAGCGCACCGTCAGAATACTGCTCCCCGTCTAAACGATGACGACTGAAAGGCGATGGGAGTAGGAAATTTCGTAGCGAGCGAACGCGTACATGCGTATCATCAGCGTAGTATGATGACGGCGTGCGAGAAGAGGGTACTCGAATAGGCATTGTAGCCCCGAAAGGCGAAGTCGAAATGAACGAGTAGCGGAAGGAGGGGTGTCGGAAACCAGTTGGCTCTGTTTCGAACAGTTTGTCGTCATCGGGAGCTGGCGGTCGGGTATTTCGCGTGGTGAAAGTAGCGCTTGTGGAAGACTGTTCCAAGCTGTCTTTATTCTCCCGACTCCTGGGGATACATTAGTGGGCTT